AAATGCCGAGGGGGCCGGTGTGCCGCCGCTGCCCGTTCAGCATTGCGGTCATCGGAAGCCCGCCCCTCAGTGGGGCGGGCTTGCGATGATCGAGAGTGCGATCTGCCTGTCCAAGATAGGCAGATCGTACGTTTTTTTAATCCCTGTACAACCAACGCAAGACTAAAGTCTTGCGATGGTTGTAGAGTGTATGGCCACCTTAAGGCCTGTGGCCAGCATAACACCTCTACTTCCCCCTACAAATCATCGGTCAATTGAGACCAGCTGGGGGTGTCCTCATTACACCAACCAGCAAGCATGGAAGGTGGACTCCTAATGACCTGGCTATAAATACGTCCCCTCACCTCATCCTGCTATTGTGTTCTCTGGGGAAGCTGTGTACTGGTTGGACTCAGTGCTGGGGAATTACATTATTGGATTTTAAGGACTTATTGAAGGGGCTCAACCCTAAAGACACAATGGTGCCCACACCTTGGAGTGGCTGTTTTAGAGATTTTGGGTAATGTATTTTGTTTCCATGTGAGGTGTTTTTTTTCTCTCAGTGGAGATTTTTTTTTCTTTTATTTATTATTTTTCTTTTCATTTTACAGATTTTTATTTCTATGCTTTCTGATTGCTGTTCCTGATGTGATGTCGCTGCTGGACTTCCCAGGTTGGTGGTTATCTAAGAATGTGTTTGTAATGGTGGAGGGCCTTGAAGATCTCAATGGACTGCAAGTGCATTGATGTCACCCCATTTGTAGTCCATTGGCTTCTTCCTCCAGCCCCAATACCTCCAGTATGGGCCTAGAGATGGAGGGAAAAGTCTACAGGAACTTGAGCATTGCATGTTATCCCTGGAGTGTGCGGCACCATGTACATACTTGCGCCTGTGATCAACTGGGGCTGGAGGAGTAGTATGCCTGGGGATTGAGGAATAGTCTGAAGGAGCATGCGCACCGCAACTATGATCCATTGGTTGCTTTGCAGCAAAAAAACAATGATTGCATTTTTGTTTGGTCAATGTGGGTGCATTACATTTCTGTAAGGGGTGGAATTGGCCTTTTTATAGCTTTAAAAGACTATACATATTGCAATGTGCATGGCCATGACAACTGCACTCTGGATGAGTTTCTGCATAATGGATTTAGCCCTTTCATGTGGGAAGTACATCGGCTGCCACTGTTGACCTTCAGTTGCCTGGGTCTCACAGGAGCCATCTGGCCTGAATTTCCAGATTGGCTCTCCCCTGAGTGTGGTTTGGATTGGGAATGTGTAACATTTGGCCTTGATGCAAAATGTCTAGTACAAGTAATAAATATCAAACTCCCTGTAAAGGCTGAGGTGTATAGAAGAGCAGGCTCTGCAAAATGTAAAGCTGATCCCTGTAAACACTACTGAGTTGGTTCTCCTTTTGGAGAAATAAATGCTTTAAAACCAAAAGCTGTTAGTCTGGAACTGGAGGACTTTTGGTGACTGAGAATTTGTTGGGGCTCTACCCAAAAGCCAACCCATGCCACATATCTGACCGTTTCCTGCACTAAATCATGACGCAAATAGCATTGTAGATCACTTCATGTATTCCTCTGTGTTCTTTATGCTTTTGTCATGATTCCCATTAAATAGGGTTCCTATCTGCTTCTAAGAGACTTACCTTTTTTGTTGTAGGTCCTTCTACCTGTTTGGATGATGGGATCCAAGTATCAAAGCCAGATAATATTCTCCTGAGTTCTTGGAAGAGGCTTCATATTGTAGGTAGGAATGTAATGGTCTGCATGTTGAAATCCAGGGGTATCGCAGTGATTTTTGACTAAACTTGCTATGGAGGGTCAGTAAGGACTTCTGTGTAAAATTGGCTGTATCCTGTAGGTTGCCAGTAATATAGAGCGGGTGGACTGATCTGGTAGGACAACCAGCCTAAGGGGAAGCTCACATTTTAGCGGGGGTAGTAATACCACTCCTACATTTTTGTTCAGTGTAGGGGGGAAGAGAGACGAGTCCTTAAGTTCTTCCTTTGCGCAAGCATGCAAAGTTTGCCACAAACCCAAAGCTTGTTGTCCCTCTTGGGCACTAGAAGTCATCTGGACACCAGCAGAAAAGCGCACCTTCTGCTAAGGCATGGCTGATGGAACCAATTTTTCTCTGCAGATGCTAGTGGAGCTGAATTGGAGGCGTGTGATCTTCATGTAGATGAAAGCACTGTGACTATCCTAGAGAAATGTATTGACTATAAGGTGAGAGCTGAGAAGTATTAGCAAACTACCAACCTGGTAAAGCTGAAAAGACTGTACAATGTTGAATGGTAATTTATATTAAAATGGTGGTTAGTCATGATGGTAATTGAGCTCCCTTTTTAACAAAACCTTTATGCCATATTTGGTCAGATTATGAATTTTCATGTCTAGGATCTGCTCTGTTTTTAACCTGTTTGAACAAAGATGGGTTGCATTGCATTTGAGTTGCCCTGCCCTAAGCGGGTGTGACCATTAAGGTTTTGTTAACGGAGCAGGAAGGAGAACCTACTGGAAGTGCTCTCCTAAGAGCAAACATGGGCTTGGGGCTTAGGCTGAACCTTGGAAGATCTACCAAGGAGGGTGCTTGATAAGCCAGAGATGTGCTTTGTCCTTGGTCTTTCTCAAAAGGCCAGTTGTATTGACTACCACAGCCAATTTTCTATTACCAGGATGCTGGTCTAGCTTGTAGGTCTTTGTGCTGTGAATACAGAGTATGGATTTTATTGGAGTCTGCAGTGTTCTGTACACCCAACACTCTCCCCTGGGTTTAGGGTGACAGAATAAACTTCAACTTTGATTGTAAAGTGATTTGTACACCTGTTTACAACACCACTTGGGTATGCCCTGAGTGGAAATGTTGGCCCACCTGTCCTAGGGCAAGGGTTGGCAACCTTGGCACCCCAGCTGTGGGTGAGAACCTGTCCTTTAAGACTTTGAAAGACAGTGCCACAGGCATGACTAGCAGAAGCATGATGGGGACTTTGTAGTTTCACCCCAGCTGGAGTGCTGAGGGTGACTGCCCCTGCTCTGGGATGTAAGGGGATGTGACATATATTATGTCTAATGGACTACTTCAGGGTAAAGGCAAACACTTGGGTTTCTCTAGATATTGGCTCCTATGTGGTTACATACATTTTACATGCCCAAATGATGTGATCTGTACAAATTATGGCTAAGTGCAGGAAATTGTTTACCATTACTTAAAGCTGAGGCAGATGCCTGTGTAAATTTTCCTTGCTGTGCCCACAACTTGCATAAAAATATTGGGCACTGAGTGAATTTCAGTCTTGACTAACAACGGTGGATTAAGATGCTTTGAAGAGCAGTCAGGTTTTGTAAGCTTGCCTGAGCTGTATCCAAAGGTTGTCATAATGAAACTCTTCTCTTGTAGGCTGGAAGAAAAACTGCTTATGTTTCTATTGAGAATCTAGTCTACAAGATTGCATGCCATGATTACCAGGCTGACTCTTCTTATGGTGGAGCAGTAGTTCAATGTGAAAATAATTTCATAATGGTAAGCTGGGTGTTCTGGCCACATGGGTTCCATCCATTTAGTTTTTTTTTAATTGCAGATGTTCAAAAGAGAAAAGCAAATGCTCTTTAGAGGGTATAAGTTTAATTGAGAAATCCAAAAGACTGCACTGTAAACTGGTCAGCAACATGGATGCTCCCTGTGACTCCTATTCTGAAGAATGGGTAACAAGTGCAGATTAGGCTTTTGGACTTTCCTGCATACCTTTTAAACAACTCATAGTATTGCTAGTGGGCAGCCTAGTAGCTGGTGACCTAGCTGGACAACTAACACTTTAGAAAGGTTGATATCGACTGACTGCCTCATTGTCTTGTGCTGGGGTTATGCTAGAGTCCATCTCCAGGGAAATTGGTTTCCTTTCCACCTTTCCAGTAGGGATGCCACCAACTGCAAGGGTTAACTGCTTGTTTATGCCTAAGATGCAATTTCTTTCCACTACTCTCCCTTAGGCAGATGTTGAGCTTTGCAGTGCAGGAACAGTCCTAATGCAAGCGAGGAGGGGGGTGGGGGGTGGAGAGAGACGCCTAAAATGTTGAAGTTGGTCTTTAAGCTGCTCTATGACCTGACCAAGTTCTTGTGAGGGAGGCCGTGTCTTGGATTTTTTTTTCTTGGAGTGCTATGTTGTACGTAATAGTGAATTGCAGTGTTGTGGACTATGGTGTGTATGCCGCTGCCCCCCCCACTTCTCTTTCCTCCAGTGCATGCAACAAACAGTCCTATTTTTGGTGGGGGGGTGCTCGGTATCTAAAAATGGCCAGGAATAACTTGCTCCCCTATATACTTCAATATATTTCAACCTCCTAAGCCCCGCTTTCCTGGATATTGAACCCAGACAGATTTGCCCATCCCTAGGTGACGGCATAGTCTGAGGCCGTAGAGTATGCACAGGTGGCAACAGCATTAGAGTGCAATGACAGACTGGCTGGGAAGGGGATGGCTTTGTCAATTTCAGAATCCTCAGGGTTGTATTTCAGACTAGGACTTCGTTAAATTAGTTTAAAAGCTTTCTTCAGACATAACCAACTAAATCCCTGTAAACAAATCTATAGAGTACAGAACTAACTTTTTTTTGTGTTTCCCCCCCCCCATGTTCCAATAAAAACTGGAACAACTATGAGAAGCATTGATAAAGTTAGTCAGGTGGGGAAAAAAAGACAAGTTAATTAAGTTCAACCTATAGAGATGGAGTGACGGAATAACTAAGGCCATCTGGCGTTGAACGGTCAACAATGGGGGCTTTACCATGTGCAAACCCCCTCACTATAAAATGGGTGACGGGTCGCACTCGCACGCTGGAGACTGCCACCATAAGTAGTGTGTGTGGGTTTATTCTGCAAAGGCAGTTTCCAGTTATCCAAAACGGGGCACTTTACAACTTTCCAAGCAGGTACTTCCATGCCTTTTTTATATTGTATCAGGAAAAATCAACTAATGCTGCCTTTACAAATCTTAGACTGTTGCTGAACCACCTGTGTCAACCTGGCTGGTAACAATCTATGATGGAGCCCAAAAGAAGACGGTTAGCGTGGCAAATGCCAGAACTTATGGATACGACTTGACAAGTGATGAGCAGAACCTTAAGTTCAAGATCCGTTATGATGCCTTAGGAATACGTGGGCTTGTAAGTCCTAGATGGAGGTTCCCTTTCACCTGTCTCACTTTGTCACCCTCAGTTTTTTTTAACCATTGTTTCTTTCTAGGGCGATAGCCAAATTTTTTACCAAGGAGACATTCGGCTCATTCTGACAAATATTAACCCAAAAATCACAATTGATGTGAAGATTAGATGTGTCAAAGGTAACTGTATATTGATGTGACACTTTATGTAGTTGGCATGTCTAAAACATGAGCTCCTTTTGGGTTTCTTGGGGGGTGGAAGGGGGCAAGTGCTATGGGCCAGGTGAGCTTGCTAGTGGAGAGGGGCAGGACTAGTAAATGGCCTGGACATTGCTGTGATGCACTTGGGAGATCTAGCTCTGAAGGGTTATGGTCAGTCCCTCCTAGATGCCTTCAATTCACTTTAATGCTCAATTTTCAACTATAGAAATGCACATGTTGCAACCCTTTCCTGGCATGGATATTAATTCAGGTGCCTCTGCTGGCTGGTAGATGTTTAATGGTTCTTGTAGCATGGTTTTTTCCATGAAGTTCAACTCTACTACATGCTTACTCATGCTTTTCCTCTATTAGGAATTCAAAAACTTGGCATGCTCCTAGTAAGTAAACACTTAGCTTTGTGCAGTCATGCAATTTGGTAGACCTTGGGCATTTCTATGTAATAAGCATGACAATTTCATGAGGTAACAGGCATATTCTGAGACTTGGTTTTCAGTAGATGTTTAGATATGACCCTTAAGGTCCCCACACACCTTACGATAATCGTGGGAAATCCCGCAATCGTACGATATCGTAAGGTATGTGGAAGCTGTGCGACCTACTACTGTAAGGTTGCACGACTTTAAACTTACGAATATGTTTGCAAACCCGCCGAGCATCGTACGATGTTCGGTGGGTGTGTAGCATGTTCGTAAGATAAAAGCTGGACGGGCCGGTGTGCGCAAGCGCACACTGCCCGTTTGGCATTGCGGTCATCGGAAGCCTGCCCCTCAGGGGGCGTGGCTTGCGATCATCAAGTACGATCTGCCTATGCAAGATGGGCAGATCGTGCGATGGTTGTAAGGTGTGTGTGCCCAGCCTAACATTTATCTTTAGTGGCAAGGGCTGATAGAAGGTGAGCTTATTTTAGATGAAGCTGAAGGTTGGAAGTAAGGCACCATTATAAATGGCTACTAAAGCATTCTCATGTGGTGGTCTGGTAGCTTAGTCTGAGATCCTTCAGGGGTGTTGCTGGCAGTAAAGCTTAAACAGTAACACTTAAGAATAATGCAAATGCCACGTAACTAAACTCTAGGCCCTTATATGTTGGGCTTTAAAAAAAATAAAGTGATACAGGCAGTGATTTTTTTTAAACAGTCCTGTGGTGTAGGTAGGACCATTTAAAATTAAGGATTGCCTAGAAAAGATACACGGCTGTTTACATGTCATAAGTAACCTTTTGCTGGTCTTGCAGGGCCTTTCCCGTGCAACAATACCCATATGAACATCTCAATTCCTCCGTTTGATGGCACTCTACAGTTCATTGACGTTGGCAATGTAGCCATTCCAATACGCAATAGTGGTGCTGCACTTCAAAAACACGGGTTATCAGTTGACCTTAGCAACGGGACCAACGTTACTATCAGTAAGGAGAATCTAAAGGTAAGGAGCAGCTAAAGGTGAACATTACCATTTGGCACTAGAATGGTTATTGTCTGTAGTCATCTAATTATCGGCCCTGTTTTTGTCTTTAGGAATTGCCAATCACTGACCCAAGGAGATTCTACTTGCCTTCTCTTGTTCTGATCTTCATGGTGGATGATGATTTTATTGTGGCAATGAGTCTTACTGGATATTGTAAGACAACCTTTGTTTCTGGTGAGTTGGCCGATGCTAAACCATCCCATACATTTGGAAGAGCCCTGGTGTCCTAAAAGCTTTTCAAACAAAATTCTGCATTTTTAAGTTGGCATTCTGAATTCTAGAATTTCTTTTTTTTTTTTTTTTTCTAGGTGATCCCTTCTGCTCAAAAGATGGCTTTATGACTGTTCAGGTGTTGTCACTGCAAACAAGACCTAGTCTGAACGTGGATACTGTGATTCTGGGAGACGGTCAATGCAAGCCGACAAATAAGACTGCCGGCATGGTTGAGTTTAAATTCTCTTTGAAGGAGTGTGGCACAAAAATGAGGGTAAGTTTGTTTTTTAAAGGAATAATCTACAACGATTGTTGCGCCATGTGTTTAACCAAACGTCTTGCAGTTTGTAGGTGGGGATCTCCTCTACGAGAATGAACTGCGTGCCCTCTGGAAAGATTTTCCTAGAAGGATCTCAAGAGACAGTGAGCTGAGGTACATATGCAATACAGTAGCTGGTGCCATGCCTAGAACATTTGGCAATGTCAGATTGGCCATAGGCAACAAGTTCACCTGTAGGTGGCACTGTCTGAGGTAATGGTGTGGACAGAATTTTCTACACTACAATGATGACAATTTTAATCTGCGAGCATTATTGCAAATTGCAGGGGTTTCCATGCCTTGATTTATAACTGGAGGGCTTCTCTAGGTAGACATGGAGGGTGGTTACTTTTGTTCCCCATGGTCCCTGCGTGTTGTAAGTCACCGCACCAAGTTTACTCCCTGGATGGACTCTAATTTTAATACAAATTGGTAAACTGAACGAGACATTGTAGTCCATCCCGGGAGTGAGCTTCGAGCAGTGACTACTTACAACACACAGGGACCATGGGGAACAGACGTAGCCCCCCTCCAGAAGGGACAGTGTCTGCACAAATTCAGATATTTGAGGATCTTCAGCCGAGTGATCAGATTTGTTAAGGTTCTTAAATCTTAAATACATTAAGCACCCGAGTAGTGTCACTTTAATGTGGTGGCTCTTTTGAACAAAAAAATGTATATAGGGTGTATGCAGGGCCGGTGCTAGACTATTTTGCGCCCTAGGCAAGACCAACTAGAAGACAAGCGGTGCAGCCCCAATCCCCCACCAATGCGTGTGCGGCCCCATTCTCCTGGCTTGCGTCCACAGGCGATTAATGTAAGCAGCCGGGGCAATAGCCAGACTGCTATTGGCTAGATTTCATTTGAAATGACCAATAGCAGACTGGCTATTGAAACACTAGCACCTGAGGAGCGGCCCTGAGAAAGCTGTCTGTTGTTGCCCCTCTGCTCAGTGGGCAGGTGCAATAGCCAGCCTGCTATTCTCTGCAATATGGAAGAGGGGGGTTGAGTGGTCAAGGCTGTGCCCTAGGCGGCTGCCTAGTTTGCCTAGTGGCAGCACTGGCCCTGGGTGTATGCAGTCGAAGTGGCCACAGTCTTTCAGAATGGTTATCTTGGCATGGTCTGGTATAGGATTTAAACACTTTATGATGGTCTCTGAATGGTCAGAAGTTCACTTATATTTAGGGGGAACATACTAGAAAACAAGCTCCTGAACAGCAACTTCGTCCTTTTTGCAGAGAGACTGTTCGTTGTCGGTACAATGTCTCTGATGGACTTTTGTTTAACGTGAATGTGCAAACTCCATCTCCTCCTCCGGTCTCTGTAAGACATGATGGTCCAATTTCCTTCATGCTAAATCTCTACGAAGGTATGTAGGTTCATTGAGGCCCTTAATTTTACCTTTTGTGGCACTGGATATTAATTATTTTCCTCTTAAGATGACTCCTATAAGCTACTGTACCAGGATAACCAATATCCAGTTGTGAAGACCCTCCGTGATCCCATCTACCTGGAAGTGCAAGTTCTGAATCGTACTGATGCAAACATTGAGCTGGTACTGAATGACTGCTGGGCAACAATGTCTCCAGACCCTACATCCTCCCCTCAATGGAACGTTGTTGTAGACGGGTAAGTAACTTGCCAAAGATGCCTGGATGGAAGGCACAATGTACAGCTGAAAGCTATAAATGAAAAAAAACTGCCATGTGATTTGAGCATGCCACTGTTGTATACAATGCTGGGTTTAGTGGTGAATTTCATAGTCCTTGACTGCTGGATTCTGTATTTAAAATGCAGAATAAGCTTCTCAGTCATTGAACACTTATAGGAGAACTGAGGCGAGTGAAAATCACTCAGCCTCATAGTTCGAGCCAACGTGTGACAATGAAACTGTCACACGTCGGCTCAATAGATCAGAAAGCGAACGAACAGTGTCTTGTCACGACTCCCTGCAGGGATTCTCCCCCTCTGATCCTCTAGTGCTGACTGGGGAGGGGGCTGGATACAGCTGGCTCTACCTCAAGAGGCGGAGCCAGCTATCCACACAGCTGGGTGCATCTCGACAGCATTGTCGGGATCTGCCTCAGTATACAGCAAGTTGTAGACTGCTATATACTAAGCTTTGGGTTACGGCAGGATGCTAGTATATGTCCTCCCGTGACCCTAAAGGGAACTATCGGGGAAAAACTTACCCCCCCATAGTTCTCAAGTTCCTGCCCCACCACAAAATTGAGTATACAAAGCTAGAAATGCCAATGGCTAATGTTACAGCTGAACTCCAGGCAAATAATTTCACGAATATATTAAAGGAGAATTATGAGGTGTGAAATCACTCTGCCTCATCTGAGCCGACCTGTGACAATGAAACTGTCACAGGTCAGCTCAGTAGATCGGGTCAGCTCAGTAGATCGGGAAGTGAGTGAACACACTTCTCAATCCTTTGCCGCCAGAGAGCTGTGACGGGAAGGACTGGATTCACCCCTCCCCTGTCTGATCCTCCAGTGCTGACTGGCAGAATGGATGGGGGAGGGGGCGGGTACAGCTGGCGCTGCTTCTAGATGGGCAGAGCCAGCTGTCACTCGCACAGCTGGGTGGATCCAGACAATTGTAGAGATCCGTTCCGGCGTCTCAGTATACAGGGAGCTGTAGCTTGCTATATACTGAGCTTAGGGTGGCAGGAGGATGCTAGTTTGTATCCTCTCATACCCTTAGAACTATGGGGTAAAACACTGACTCCATAGTTCTCTAATGGTCAAAGGATATAAATCCACTGAGTGCCCCAAATGCCTTTTTCAAACCTGGTTATCTAGCAAAAGTAGTGGTGACGGTTACTGTGCTGTAGAGCTGTGGTTGGAACACCACAGGTTCACCTACTACATGGCGAGGAGAAAAGACCAGTCACCCTGGACAAGTAGAGCAGCAGTGACCAGTCTTACAGGAAGCTCCAAGTCTCACACGGGATTACTGCACAGATCTGGATAATATACACAAAGCTCACCCAGATTCCAGAAGAATACACACTGATCTTGTGACCTCACTTGCTGATCAGATTTCAGTTCTATAAACTATTGGGGATCCCGAAACATAACTTGGCCTTCAAACACTAAAAGGTTGAGCACATGTGGTTTTAGATTGGCTTTAATAAGGAAGTTTTTGGTTCTTTAGCCTTACTAGGTTTCCCCCTCTTCTAGTTGTGAAGAAGACCGAGATGACTACCTTACAGTTTTTCATAAAGTTTCAAATGTGCTGCTTCCAAAACACCGCAAGCGATTTGAAGTCAAGGCTTTTGAATTTGTCTTTGAAGATGTATCTAGCTTTGTAAGTAATGGGGTTTTAGAAGTGCATAGAAACGTCTGGCAGCTTATAGTCCTTAGATGTGGTGGTTGCATGTCTGCAGTTATAGAGAAACAAAAGTAGTTTGCTAAAAACTAATGCAGCATCACATCTAAGGACAGGTAAGCTGTAATATAGTAAAGTTTTTGCAGGTTGGATAACCAATAAAGCTGCCCTCTTATCTGTAGTCTGGCATTAATGCTGTATGTTGGGCCATATGCAAAATGGCCATCGACCCATGGAAATTGTCTTCAAATCCTGGCTTGAAAATTGGCATTTAGGTGATGGAGGCTAAAACCAGTTTTAAGTACTCGTTTAGGCCAGCCTCAAGCTTTGTTAAACAACTTTCTCTGAGGCTTTTACCCTAAACTAACTTGGGGTAGGCAACCTTGGCACAACTGTAGTGAAACTAACTCCCATCATGCTTCTTGAAGTCATAACTGTGGCCATGAGCAGGGGTTAGTCTTGCAATCCATGGGATGGGTGGTGGTTGTCTTGCTATCCCTGGCGGTTGTCTTGCAATCCATGGGGGGGGGGGGCAGGGTCTTACAGATTCACCATAGCTGGAACGCTATCGTTGCCTTCTCCTGATCTAACTAGCAAAGTTGTAGCTTAAGGGAAGTCTAAAACCTTATCCATAACTAAACATATATTCTTTTGCAGGTCTTCTTCCACTGCAGTGCTCTTATTTGCAGCCTCCAGTCTCCAGACTACCCTCTCTGTACAAAAAGTTGTGAAGGGTCTAGAAGGAAAAGAGGCAAGTGTTTCCAAACATTTAATTCCCTCGCCTCCCCATCCCTGAAAACAAGTGGCTCTTAATTTATAATTTTTTCACATCTGTTGTAGATGAATTGTTCTTAAACAGGCATTCTGTGCTGGCCAGTCTTCCCGGACCATTGCTGTTTGTGGACTCTGATCCTGCAAAGACCCTCCAAGGTAATACTGGATGCAGTTGGTAGATTTGCAATGGCAATTGTTGGTGTCTAACTTATCCATTTCTTCTAGATGAGTACAAGGTCATCAAAGAGATCACTCTGGGAGTCCTGCCTGCCTTTGGTATTGTTGCTGTGATTATTATGGTAGTTGTGCTTCTGTCTACAGTCAGAAAGGCAAACCATTAAACTGACAAATTTATATCCTAGGCCAGGGGTCAGCAACCTGCAGCTCTGGAGCCATATGTGGCTCTTTCATCACTCTGCTGTGGCTCCCTGTCCAGGGGTGGAACTACCACCAGGGCCTCGGGCTGTGGGGGGGCCCAGTGAGGTCCAGTCCTGGGCACCCCCCTTGGTGGAATGTGCAGCGTCTATGGTGTGCTCTGCAGGGTCACTCTCGTGCGCTCTGTGGGGTCTCGGGTAAGCCCTGATTCCGATGAGTTACAAAGCCCACATATACCTATAATATCCATTTTAGATGTCAAGTTTTGTGGCTCTGGGTTTTTTTTTTTCCTGTGGGAAACTGGTCCAAATGGCTGTTTTAAGGTTGCTGACCCCTGTCCTAGGCAGAGGTTCTAACCCCTACTCATTTTGGGAGTGTCTTGTTGCACTTTGTCCAATGGGTATCCCGCCTCACTCCATACTGGACACTCCTTAGGACGGGTGCTTAAATGACTGGATGGCACTGCTGGAATCGATGAAACAAATGTCACCAGCACACCTGAGGTCAAATGAATGTCCTTTGACACTTGTGTCACACTGACATTTCAGGGCTGGGCAGGGTCACCTTCATCCTGAGTCTGAAGGGGGTCCTGAAATGTCACCATAGGATATTCCCTTGACCGATCTCATGTGCTGGTGACATTTTGCTGCTTCATTGTTGCACTTTGTGTCCATACTGGAGGGGTTCCCCTCACTTTCGAGGCAGTAAATGAAGGGAAAGCATTCCAATTAGTCTGGACTGCAGTCAAAATGGAAAATTGGTCTGAGCATCACTCACTCAAACAAGTTTGACAACATCTGGGAGGTCTGGCCCTGGGTGAGTCTAGTCTTAGGCCTCACATGTTCCAAGGGGAAGCTTCAACCTCTAACTCATTGGGGTGCATCTACTGAAGGTAAGCGGGCTGTTTGTCAGAATGTTTATACTGCTGATATACAGTTTTCTGTTTATGGAAACAAGGATCTATATTTAAGGAGATTCCCAACTTATTTCCATCAAAATTTACATGAGTTCTTTCATTTTGCGCTGACTTAACGACCAGAGGAATACAAAAGTATACAAAACATGTATATTCCAAATTAGTGCAGAATTAAATATAATTGGTGACAAACAAAGAATATGGATCAGATATATCAATTTGATAACACAGGTAATGCATAAAATGTAACCAGGATATTCAAAATATAAACGTAACCAAAATAAAACAACTTTTAAGTGCAATGGGTATCTTATCAGTGGATCACAAAATAAGAAAACAAAGTTCAGAATTGACATGTGACTTCTCCCAGCAACAGATGTTCACAAACTCAAACTTTTAACAGCTCATGGGCAGGATTTGTCCCATCATGCACAGGATTGGCTATAAGCCAAGACTATATTCAAAGTAAAGAAATTTCCACCAGTTTAATTCAATGTATATCAGACTAGACCATTGACTAGAAACTGAAATCAGTTTCCTGGAGATTATACAAATGTATATATTTATCTCCAAAGATTGAAAGACATAATTTGTACTGCAGTTAAAATGATCTCAAATCAATCTCGATCCTACAAGAACTCAATGGTTTACCCGAATATATATGTGGCTAATGAATTGCCTAATATACAGATACATTTATACTTTACCAGCAATTTATGATTAGTTGTCTGAAAAGTCAGCAGTTCAGAAACAAGGGATGTTCAGGTTCTCTTTAGTTCAGTTTACTTGGACAGCCGTCCTCAGCTTCCGACCTATACCCTTAGAATGTATTTGCTTACTGCCTTGTCTTTGTTGGAATTTGGCTTCCGGCTCTTGGCCTCTACTATTCGCTTTTATCCCCCCTAGAATGTGGGCTTGGTTTGGTCTTCCACGTGATTATTGACGTGAACTATGACGTCAGATATATCATTTTACCCGAGACCTTTCCCCTCACAATCACCACCAGGGGGCACTATTTGATATAAAAGTTGTGAGCATTTCATTTAATGTTACTATTTTCTAAAGATTGAGTAGAAAGATAACCTCTGACCTAAGCTTTCGGAGAAAGCCATGAATATAAAAATTTGACTAACTGATAACCTTTTAGTCTACTTTAGAGATTTACAACTTTAAGAAAGTCTAACCTAACAACTTTAAGAAAGTCTAACCTAAAGCAATTGACGTTTCTCAAATTCCTTAAAAGTGAAGTTATTAGTTCCAAGACACATTGGTTCTTAACACATTAAAAGAAAATGCATTGGCATGTACCACCTAATTCTTTGCACTTAAAATATAAAACCCCATTATTAGTAATACACACTAATATATTTCAATGGGTACACTCAAACAATATGACTATAGTTTGGATATCCATAAAAGTACATGTATAAAATTTTACTTGAAATTAGTCAATAACCTAAGCATATAGATGCTGCACATACTATAATAACATTATTGCTAATTATCACTGCAATGAATAGTAAGGTTTCATAAGCAACTTTTAAATAATTAAACTTCTATTAATTGAAAGAGGAAAAAAAAATCTTTAGACATTCCAGTTTCTGTACATTGTCTTTTGTGGAGGCAAGAAAGTCATCAATCTTGACCTACATAGGCTGGCACCATCCTTAACTGATGTGTGTCTGAGACCCCCCACAATTTAGAACTTGATAATGTTTATACTAAAATTCCTAACCTTCTCTGTGAAAGTCTCTGTCCAAGAAGAATGAACTTGCATTGACCTATGCGAGCAGACAAAATGGCTACCAGTATGCCCATATACAAATCTGTAAAATAGCATGTGCAGGCCTATGAAATGGATTCCTTTCTGCCCAATAGTTCTGACGTTCACTTTGCACAGGAAGTTTGCACATTGAAAGTACAATTTAAAGACTGATCCATCCTTATAAGAACAGACGTCTTATCACAGACAGCAGCTTTGGTCAGGTCATCAAGTGTAGAAAATAACAGTCACCTCCTGCAGAGAAAAAAAAGAACATTCTATATCGCATCGCAGCTTCCCTAAAAAACAAAAACTACATCACTATGGCTGATCTATGTCCCCCATTTTAGTGAGGGGGTTGGCAGAACATGGCAAAGCACCCCCCTCCCCTTGTTGACCCTTCAAAGCCAGATGGCATTAGTTCCAAGTTGTTCTTCACTCTATGGGTTGAACTCGATAAACTTGGGTCTTTATTTCCACCTGACTTTATCAATGCTTCTCATAGTTGTTGTTACAGTTTTTATTGGAATAACATCATGAATGGGGATTTTTCGTTTTGCCCTTAATGAATTGGTTGCCTGTTGTTTCCTTGTAGATAAAATACTTTGGAATCCTAAGATGTGGTTTTGGTGTTCTTATTGGTTCTCTCACATGTGCATTTCTTAAATCTTAGAGACCCCCTTCTACTTTAGAGGTGCCCCTTGTTTGTGGCGAGCTTCCAAGCTCTCACGTTCAATGACTTCTTTCCACTGATTGAATAATGACATCAAGCACCTGATTTCCACCCTTTCCTGCTGCGGCCAGTGTAGAAGTGACCCCCCCCCCTTACATTGGTGGCCAGTGTAGAAGTGACCCCCCCCCTTACATTGGTGGCCAGTGGGAAAGTACGATGACTTTATCAATGCTTCTCATAGTTGTTGTTACAGTTTTTATTGGAATAACATCATGAATGGGGATTTTTCGTTTTGCCCTTAATGAATTGGTTGCCTGTTGTTTCCTTGTAGATAAAATACTTTGGAATCCTAAGATGTGGTTTTGGTGTTCTTATTGGTTCTCTCACATGTGCATTTCTTAAATCTTAGAGACCCCCTTCTACTTTAGAGGTGCCCCTTGTTTGTGGCGAGCTTCCAAGCTCTCACGTTCAATGACTTCTTTCCACTGATTGAATAATGACATCAAGCACCTGATTTCCACCCTTTCCTGCTGCGGCCAGTGTAGAAGTGACCCCCCCCCCTTACATTGGTGGCCAGTGGGAAAGTGCTTCTTGCATTGTAGGTGGGAGATGAACTCACTACTGCTCACAGATCCAAGGAACTTGTAGCCTCAATAACTGTAGAACCAGCACATGATGATCTTCCAAAGAAATTCAAACTTTATTCTACATGCATCTGTACAAAGCACAAGCGCTGACGTGCTTCTGCCTTACTCGGCCTTAGTCATAGACTATGAATAATGTTTGAATTTCTTTGGAAGATTATCGTGTACCAGTTTTTGAGCCTATTACTCCTGAAGAGAGTCATCCGTGCACCGAATGTGGATTGTGGGGACGCATGATAGGGGTGGGCTGTGCGCTTTGTGCTTTCAAGAAACTTGTAGCACCTTCAGGAGGAAACCTGGTTGAGAAAAGCTGTTCCATACACTCAGCTTAAAGCCTCATAAACTGAAATGGTCATCAAGGTGAAATACAAATCCTAATACACTGATAATGTACAGAGGGGGTTACATTGTACTATATAATGTACACTGTGTACTGTATGTCTATGTATCCCATGTTATGTCCCATATGAAGCAATCCTGCATGTCTCAAAGCTTTGTTCTCCATTGTTCTGGTGTTACGATTATCTTCCAGCACAGGAAATCCATCGAAAAACAATAATTGTCCTGATGCAACAAAAAATTGTAGGGTCGTCCAGGGGCGTAACTAGAAATCACAGGGCCCCATAGCAAAATTTTGTATGGGGCCCCGTGATTTCTAGTTATACTCCTTGCAGAGCCCACTCGAGATCCCACCTGAGGGTGACCATGCAGAGCCCCCCATAGACTCTCTATGGTGGGCTCTGCAGGATCACCCTCAGGTGGGCTGGTCGCACTCCTTACCTCCTCCGTGGCCGGGCCCGCCTCCTTCTTCATCACCGAGGCCACCTCCTCCCCTGCTGCCGAGCACGGGCCCGCCTCCTCCCCTGCTGCCGAGCACGGGCCCGCCTCCTCCTCCACTGCCGGTGACGTCAGAGGCTCGCAACGTTGATAGAACACCGGGTCCAGCCTGCTCCCCTGCTGCTGCTGGTTCT